CCCACCGGTTGAACCACTGACCCGTCAACCCGGTCCTCTTGCCGGGTTGATGTCCGGGTTGGTTTTAATAACTATGGAAGAAAGAGCTCGAGTGGAGAGAAAAAGAAAAACAGCGGAGGGGCGACGACAAAAAAAAATGGAGGAGAAAAAGGTCTTGGGGGCTAGAGGGAAAAACAGAGAACAGGAAACAGAGGAGAAGGAACAGAGCAAGAAAACAGAGGAAAAGAAACAGAAAAAACAGAGGAAAGGAGGATGCTTCGGCGAGGAAAGAAAGCTACGGCAAGAAACCGAAGCCAAGCTGCGGCGAGAAACAGAGGAACCAAGTTGCGGGAAAAAACATAGAAGGAAGACTTGTCTGAGAAATCCCCAATCCGCATCCGCCGCTGTTGCTGTCTGCCATCGTCACCACCGCACACAACCTCCCTGGCCGCTGCCGCTCTCTGCAAATCTAGATGAAAGCTCTCAGACGAAGTCAGGCTTCGTCATCTTCCAATTCCAATTCACCGTCTTCGTCTTCGTCATAATCGCCGTCGCCGCCGCTCAAGTAAGAGCACTGTAAGTTGACCCTTTTCCTTTGAATTTCAGTTTTTCCTCAAGCACAAGTTTTGGAAAGTTTTCCAAACGGGTCTGCCGTGACTTTGTTGTGCGATTTCCCTGTTGATTGTCCATAATTTTTTTGAATTTACATGTTTATATGTGGATTGGATTGAAACCTCTTGTGTCGCTGACAATTTTGGGGCAGATTATAACCTCAATTGAACAAAAATTTGGTGAAATTTTAATGCTCCTTTGCTGTTCGATGAAATGCTTGTTTGAAAATTCTAATTGGAAGGTAGTCTCTCTACGTTTGCGGGTGAGGAAACAAATGGTCAGTAAGTTCCATGCCTGTTTGAATGATTGAATTTCGTGAAAAAGTGGAGTTTGAAGAGTTTCGTTTTCTTAATTTCCCTTTTCATGAACACGATTTAATGACATGAATTCGTGTGGGTTTGAAGTTGAGTTTTTTCGGATATTTTTTTCCTTTGTGAGAAAACTGCGATGGCGGTCAGATGTTGAATTTCATTTGGAGAAGATGGCTGGCCTACATTTTGCTTATGAATAACATCTGGTCGCGTTTTCAGAAGAAAATAGCCTGAGTATTGCGAAGAGGACGAACTGGGTTGGAAAATGTTTATGAATTCGCAAATTGACCCTTGACCTTTGATGAAATCACATTAAAGCCTGCGTAACTTCCAGATCTTGGTCAATTAAGTCATGATTTAAGCATAAATTGACCCCTGGACTTTACTTTTCTTTAATTTCGACCCCAAAACCTTCATGATTCCTCCAATTAGGTCTCTATTTTGTTGTGATTGAACCTCTCAAGTTTCCCCTTTATTCTGATATGACCCGAAAAATTGGAAAAGTGAACTTATTTCTCCCTTTTAGATTTTAATCTTTTAATATGCATAAGTAGTCTTTTCTAGCTAGATTAATTCTTGTTTTTTTAGATCATAATTGTGGCTTAATAATTTTTGTTGATTTTATCATGTTGGGCTTAGGGAAATTGGATTTTTTGTTTGGTTGGGTTTGATAATGGATTTTGGTATATTTCTTTTGGATTTATGATTTGGCTCGGTTGGGCTGGGGTAATTAAAGATGGGTTAGTCTGATTTTTTTTAAGGCTTTCGGTCTGGGCTTGGGAGACAAACCCTAGCTGTTTTGGTTGGACTAATTGATGGACCAGCCCATACGTTTTCTCGAGATTCTTTGATGGGCTGAAGATAATCTCGGCCCAGGGAGATAAATAAAATGGCCCAATGGCCTGTTTCTTAAGAATCTGGTAACTAGATTTGCAAATCAGCCCCTGGATTTCTCCTTAACTATATTGTGGCCCTAGAAACTTTCAACTTCTTTCAATTGGGTCCCTAATTTATTTGCAAATAGATCCCTAAACTTTTTTTTCTTTAATTTTGACCTCATATCTTTGTGATAATTATAATTTGATCCCCATAACTTTGTTAATTTTGCAATTTAGCCCCTACTTGTTTTAATTTCTTAAACGTAGGTCATTTATATGATTTAATTGATTCAGTTTCATGTTTATTTTCATCGTTTATGATTATTTGTTAATTAAAGTGATTCCTTGACCTTTTCTTTGTTTTTGGAGGGTAAATAAGTGATTGCATCTCATTAGGGGTACCAATTCAAGGGAGGTACACTCTTCCCCTTGTTTTGATTTCTACTTGACCCTATGTGAACTTATATGTGAAATTGCATGCCTTTTGAATATTCTCATTCTATTTATTCATTTAGTTACTTTATTTGTTTTAATTTTGTATATCTATTTTCATTTAATTTGTAATTATTTGGGAAGGCAATTAAATGCCACAATTGTAATAGTTAGGTTATTATATCATTTTATTTAACTCATTCCCCCTTAGATTGTAGTAGGCCCCCCCCCAAATGTAATAGTTAGGGCTTCTTTGCTTTATTTGCTTGGTGTGATTTGTGTGCCTATGTGCTATGTGTTACCGCTTTCCTAGGTTTTTGCATTTAGATAAGCATGCATATGTGCTACATGCTATGTGAAACTATGTGCTTTGCATGTCTATTTGCTTTAGCATTATATCTGATCATGTGGATGAATGCACGTCACCGTGGCTAGTCCAATGCTAGTCATGGTCTTCCCCTCGAGCTCTCACAAGTCCAATGCTTGTAAATGAGCGTTAGTAAAGGGCTAGTCCAACGCTAGACCTTTTTTCCGCTAGTGTCATATCTGCATGCCTTCACTACATTTCATTCATTTTTCCTTTTAGTATTTCTCATTTTGCATGCTCCCCTAACCTTTCCCCTACACATTTAGGGCTGCATTTTCATTTTAGACTAATTCATTTGCTTGCATAGGTTAGGGAGTCACCCTTCTGGTAAGGGAAACGAGCGAGTATGGTTACACATAGCCTTAGCACGCTAGTTCTTCCTTCTAACCAAAAGACAAATTAAAAGTCACGATTTAGGATCTCCCCGTATTCGTCTTGCTTACATCCCCCTAAGGCTCATGCATTTCCGAAGCACCTTACTATTTGCACACTCTTCACACTATCATTTTACCCCTTATCACTTTGCACTTACACTTCACATATTATCACCCTCACTCTACACTTCACACACCACCACTTTATATATTATCACTTTTTACACTACTACTTTTTACCACTATCACTTCACACACCACCACTTTATATATTATCACTTTACACACCACCATTTTACCCACTATGACTTCACACACTCTCACTTTCTACATAGTACCCATTTGCACATTCCCACTTACACACTATTGTCTTTTATTACTTTTTTCCACTTAACACAAGCTTATGTTTTCACATTGCATACATTCATTCCATTCATTCTTACGTCATTAGCATTATTCGTGACCATCTTGGAGGGCTTATCTTTGGCTATCACAACTCATGTGATTTAGTCCAATCGAGCCTCTAAGAGATATTTGTCCCACTAGATTCATCATTAGATTTAGGATTACATCCATGTTAGTTACATCCAAATGCAATATATCTTTTGGTTAGAAATAAAGGAAATTATGACTAAATCACGCAACTAGTTTAGGCTAGGGTAAAAGGGTGCCTTAGACTTTGTCTTTGCCTTCCCTTTTATCAACTGTGACCCCCGAACTCGTCTCTCTGATTTTCGTGGGTTAGGAGTCATCTAAAAAGATTTTTACTTCATTTTTTTTACTTTTTGGGTGACTTGGTACATCCTAACTCAATATCAAGTGGCGACTCCTATTTTTCTAAAAACCTTTTTAGATTATCATTTTGGCCAAACCGTCGCATTTAAAAGTCCCATGGCCTTTTCTTTTATTTCTCACATTCACACACTTCACATATTTCACACACGCTACACATTATGATTTCAAAACGACTCTTTTTCCGATTTTTCAAAAAATGGGACGCGACAGTTACGTTAAGTATCTTGTTTGTTATGCTTAGTATTTTGTTTTGTATTTAATGTCTTGTTTTTGTTTGTCTTTTAAATTATTCTTTTTGACTAATCTTACTTATAAGATTATTTGAAAGTGTTTTTAGGTTCTACGGAGGATAGTAAACAAAAGTGGATAAAAACTTGAGAGAAGAAAATTCAGAAATGAACTACAATTTTCAAAACTACAACTATGGAAATAACCAAAGAATGTCTAAAGGTTCAGAGTGATTAATTCAAATTTATTAGTAACCAAATGGGCTAGACATTATATTTCACTCCCTTTCCCTTCTTTATCTCGATGTGGGATATTACACTCTCTCCACCTTTAACACTTTTGATCCTCGCAAAATCTGTTATTATTCAAACTGTCCACTTAGTCATGCATAGGTTCTAGAAGTGGCTCATATAGGTTCTAGATGTAGTCCCCATTTGATGTGTGTAGTCCCCGTTTGATGCGTTCTAAAGGTGGTCCCCCATCGAACGTGATATTTAATCCTATACAGCACTTACTTTCTTGTATTTCTTTGCGTAGTTGGAACCATAACCCAATAGTTTAAACTCATATAGGTTCTAGATGTAGTCCCCATTTGATGTGTGTAGTCCCCGTTTGATGCGTTCTAAAGGTGGTCCCCCATCGAACGTGATATTTAATCCTATACAGCACTTACTTTCTTGTATTTCTTTGCGTAGTTGGAACCATAACCCAATAGTTTAAACTCATCCAGCACAGAGACCACATGAGATTTGCTTTGATACTCACTGTAACGACTGGCCCAATACCCTTTCAGCTGAAACTACAAATTCAAAATGGTTAACCCAAAGTTATTAGTAACTCAATGGGTCGGGCATCATATTTCACTCCCTTTCCCTTCTCCGTCACGATATGCGACATTACACTTGAAAGCAAACATAATTCCATCAAGTGCATATGTACAATACTACAAATAAAAGAAACAAGCTCCAAAATCCAAACTTAATACATAAAAATTAATATTGATGTCTTTAAAGTGCAATAGAAATGGACCAAATGCAGCAACACTGCAAATCTAGATTCCACCTTCAAGTTTTGAACAGCAAAAACAGCAACAGCAGAAATGAACAGCAGCAAAAACTAATAGCTAGCAATAGGCAGGAGCAGAAATGAGATGCAACAACAGAAGAAATAAGAAACAGCAGTAGCAATAAAAATGAATAGCAGCGGTCAGCAACATAACTCTACTGCAGCAGCAGTAGCAGGAATGAAAATTTCAGCTCCAACCATTTAACTCCATGCAGATTCTGTGTTCAAAAATCAAGATTCCAACAACCATTTAAAAGTGAAAAATGAACTCCTTCTAGGCTATAATAAACATAGAATATAACAGCCATGGACTATTCATTAAAGAAATTTCCAACAATATTCGGGACTCCAAAACAAGCATTTTGAGTCTCATTCACATACAATAACAATTCACTAACAACAAAAAATGCAAAAATTTCACTAAAACAGCAACATACATCAATTCACTGACACTATCATTTCGCTTAGAAGTTAGAACAAGCTTTTGATGTGAACCATTTCTCTTAGAACCAGCAAGCTTATTAGCCATTTCAACAGCTATATTGGCAATAAATGGAATAAAAAATAAAGGAATGAAGTGAACTATAAACATTAAATATTCAACAATTAAGAAAAAGAATGTACCACAATATGAAACTTGGTCCATGTGGCATAAATTTTAGAACTTTTGGCAAGTCAATTTCTTTGATTGGTTTGACTTCCTGAATAAAAGAAAGGGAAAGAAGGCAAAACACAAAAAGTTAAATAAATTATGATAAGAATAAAGTAACTTATCTTCAATAACTCAAATTTGGAAGTTTGCTGGTAAAATAATAAAGCTGACCTTCATTTTCTTTTTGACCCTGTAAAGCTTCCTAAACCAATCTCCTACGTACATCAAGACTTGAACTATATTTGGATGAAGTGAAGCTTGATACGCATCAATTACTAAAGTCTAGGCACTAAATGTGGCTTCTAATGCAACTATAGTTATCAAAACGACCAAGATATCATAGGCCATTCGAGATAGTACTGGGTTTGAGATCCAATTTATTTTCCACCATTCCAAGCAATCAAAGTTGTCCGGGTCTGCTCCAATCTTTTGGTGAGGTTTGTCAAGATAATCAACCAATCTAGACTTGTGGGATTCAATGGTCTTGATTTAATACTCATCACAATCAACCTACCTAGTTCCAAGCACATATTTTCCCCACCTTTGTGAGTGTTCTTCCACTGCTTCTCTAGCTGCATTCACTGCCAAAGCAACATATTCATCATATAATTCAAAGATCACTTGACGAATGTTGGAAATGTTCTTAGAAACTTCTAATGGTGGTTACAATTGTGAGTAGGCGAACTCTACAACCCTTATTTTCTGTTCAAATCTAAAATAGCAGGTATAGCCATTAACAAATACACTCACCCCAATATTTGCTGAACTTAGTTTTTATCTTTTGAACCATGGCCCAAATGAAGTAGTCATCATCATTGACTCAAGCATTCAAAAAATTTTTTTTATCTTCACAACCCCCTGAAGGAACAAATTGCTTATTGGATAATTTGGCCCAAAAATTACATGTGTGCCCTCCTAAAATTTTTCTAAGATGGAGAATACCTTTGTTGCGTTTTTTCTAATCCTCAGGAGATGGGCAAATATCGTAATGTTGCTTTCTAGCCTGGAAACAAGAAAAATCTTCTTTCCATTATTGATGACCATGTACTAGATCTTTTGATTTTTTGACTTCCAAAAATCTGTTGTGATGCTCACCTTTTCCACATTCTTGAACTTATTCTTCAACTTGTTTTTTTTGAACTCCATAATCCTGCATACAATCATTTTTCACTGTTGTCAGCGAGATTTTCTTCCACTCTAGTGCCGCACGTTTCATTATAATGTGGAAACCCTCTTTCTTTAATATGGAGAAGGGATGCTCGTGCATTAACACCCAATGTGCATCTCCCTCTCTCATTTTCTCCATGTCAAACTTGTGGCTCAATAGTAGTAAAGTTGAAAAACATTCATCAACCAACTAGAAATTGAGTTTGATTTGCTGCTTCACCTTTCTGATACTTGCTTTCCTAGCTGGACAAGTGATCCAGTGTCTCAACATGGTAGTTGCTTGCATGGTCTTTCCCCTTGAACGCTTTTTCCTGCAGTGATGACAAATGGCATAGTACAAGCCATTTGCTGTAACATCCTTGAAATCATCCTGAGTCTTGAATGTTTTACTCTTTTTTGGGATGCAAAATCCTTCTCATGTGCATATTAGCACCTACTTGTTCTCCTTCAATAGGCAAAAAAGCGGTTGCAGAGCCAAGAGCAATCACTGGAACTCCAAGGTTTGCTGTTGTATCATTGCTGATAAAAATAGAACTATCCAACATCATTAGAGCAGATGAATCTGTAGTGGATACAAGTGGGATAGAAGAAACCTCTAGAGGACTAGGAATGCCTACAATTTACCCAAAATAGAAAAAAAAATTATATTTGTGTCAAGCACCATAAAAATTCATCAATATCACTACATATCATTGTCAAAGGCATCATTGTCAATCCAAGAAAACTGAACTGGCATTTAGCTTACCTACTCCTTCAGGAGTGGTTTCTAATCTTGAGCAACTTGTCCAAGGCCCAGTTCCGCTTTGCATTTTCTTCAAGAAATCTTCGACAAGAGAACAACAATTTCATGCTTTCACCATTTAAAAAGTCAGGCCATTTTTTTTTTAACCTACTAAGCATTAGATCTAAATTTGGGTCTATATAAATATGGTCAATTTAGGTCTGGATTTAGCAGTGCAGGACATGCATACTTGTCATTTTAGGGCTGGCCATTTGGTGTCTCCTCAAATTAAGAATAGTATAAACTAATAATTTCAAAACACCCCCCCTCCTTTTTAAATTGAATGTCTTAACTTGGTGGATAAAAGTATTAAGTAAAGAATAGTTGAAACTATTACTGTAATAAGTAGTTCAACGGGAAACATATTGGAGCACTCACATTTGCAGTTTATCAAGAAATTAAAGTCCCAAAATTTCCTTAGGAAATTGATATTATCTTGGGGCCAACAATAAATTTAAGACAAACGTTCAATTTGGGGATAAGAAAGTAGTACAATTATAGCTAGTCAAAAAGGATCAAATTAAATTGCACACTACAATTGACAAAAAATTAAGTTCTTTATTAACAGAAGATAAAGAAATCAATACATAAGCCAGATCCCACAGTAGGGCCAGTTTGTCCCCCAATAGCTGACATAATGTGTTTTGGCCATTTGCGGATTTTGTTTCAAAATCCCACTTTTCTTATTCTACAGACATTTTTTGATTGAAGCTTAATTTCAGAACCAATAATGGAGGAATTACATTGAAGGCTTATCTCAAATGAGCTCCGATGGTTCGTCAGCCCTTTTGCTCTGGTGGGACTTGAAATGACGATTTAGGAGGAAGAGAAGCTGAGCAGAGCTCTGGTGGCTTTCATGCGAGTGCGAAGGTAGCAGCGATGGCAATTGCTGATTGACAAACGATAGGCGAGCAGCGGCAGCGACAGTCGAGCGAGTGAGAGTGGGTCACCGTATGAGAAAAAGAAGTGTGTAACTCTGAAACAGCAGGCATCAACGACGATGGCTGGTGACTCACAGCCAGTAGGAAAGCAGCAGTGGCGACACCCAAGTAAGACTCTGAGAGTGTATGATTTGTGCGAGGAGGAATTGAAGATGAAGAACAAAGGTAGCACAGAAATTTTGCTTTTCTCGTCAATTTTCTCTCTTTTTTTAGATTTTTGTTAAGGTTTTCTCTTTTAAGTATTTTTGAATTATATTATTATTTTTTTGCCATTATAGAACTTTATTAAGTAAGAAAAACATCTTGTAAATTAACTAAAACACAAACCCTTAAGATCATTTCACAATTAAAAATGTATATTATTTAAATAATTTAACTATTCGCAAGCTACTCGTGGAGACTCAGGTATCATATGTCTGGTTCGAACTTCACTTGGTTATGCAATTGAATAGCTTGTGCTGAGTTTTAAATTCAGTCCGAGCGAACTTGACTTCAATATACAATTGAGTAGTTTGTACTTAATCTCAAACTCAGTCCGAACAGTTGACCACACTGCTTGCAAGTAGTCCAATTCGCCACCACCCCTACTAGTTGATAGCATGCAGACCCAATTGGGCCTTAAGGATTAGCCGGATCAGTAGCGTGTACTCCAGGAGGAGGCCTTACACGTATAATAATATGTATTAGCAAGAAATGGACTTTAAAAGTTCTAGTTTTATCAAGGGAAAAAAACATCCCCCCTTTAAAGCATAAAGGGTGGATGGAGTGCTAGAAACTTTTTTAGAAGTGTCAATAACATCTCCCTTTTTATTCGTATAAAACAAGATCGTAATAAGATCACAATATCGTTTTCATCCGTAGTTAACACTTGATTTTGTGGATCTTTTTCTACTCTGTCCTTCACAAAATTCAAGTCCAATAAAACAAGGCCTATAAAGAATCTACGATCGGGTGCTAAACCACGCTGCATCAAACGCCCAGCTCTCACTTAGAAAACATCAAATAAAATAAAACAAGTGGCTTGTCAAAAAACTTTCGTTATTCTTAAGGTTAACATGCACATCATTTCGTCGCCCAAGCTTTATACAACAGATAAAGCAGCGACCAGATGGCTGAAATAACACTCCAATATACGTCTATCCAATCCTCTACGACTTAAATAGCCGCCTGCATAATTGCACAACATTCAAGACTGCATTCCCTACAATCTAAGCATCACTCTTCTAGGCCACCAAGATCTCACTCTCATTCAACTTTTTGAAACTTAATTTCTTGTTTAGAGCACCAAGATAGGCCCGAACACTAGAAACAACAATGTCCATTGCCGCACCAGTTCCACTGCAGTAGCAATCAATAATTTAATCAGTTTGATTCACTTTTAGAAAAGAAACAAGAAGTTCCTCTATTTTGCCGGTACAACTAGCATTCGGCATCAATATTATCCTTGTAAAGATCAAGCATTTTCTACCTGAATGTCCGAGACATTGCTTCTCCAGTCAAGGCATGAGTGGCTGTCTGACTATCTCCACGAATCAAAACTCGGGTTGTCGCTATAGCATCAATGCCTTCTGTGACAGCACTCAAGGAATACTCAAGAAGTATTAGAGGAACCTGCACATATTAATGAGAAAGACTTCAGATGCTGGATTATAGAGGCAGTATCCAAGCTAGAAAAAGGGGATTTACAGCAGTCATCCATAAACTAATAACACAAAAATTGCAGGGCTCCATACAAAGACAAAAAGGCAAAACAATTTTATGTTTAGCATGTAAGTAAGCTTTAGAGCACAATCTTGTAGGCCAAACAAATTCATCACAAACAGATTGATTTGACTGAGCTTTGGCTGAAAACTTGCAGATTAACTGAAGTTCATTACAAAAAATATGCCATTAAGCAAAGAAGCAGGTACTTGACAGATTTCAAGAACCAGGTTGAAATGGTCCATGGAAGCAAGATTCTTAGACATATTATTACCTTGTCCATTTTTCACACCACCGACCAACCACCACAAGCTGTACCATACTTTATTCTAAAGCCACTCAATGATGACGAAGATAATAGAATACTCAAAAGCTAGAGAGCAATCATTTCAAGGTCCGCACAATAACTGGTTTCAACTTCAGATTGAAGGAGAATAAATTTAAAGTTCACAAACCTTGGTAATGAGATCAATTGCTTTGTAAGCTGCATCAACTGGCCCAGTACCAACAGAACATTCAATATGCTCTTTACCATCAGCGTCTATCAGTTTGACAGTTGCAGTAGAAAGACCAAGAGTTCCACAAGTTACCTGTGGCCCAGGAGGACAGCCCATACAATTGGAGTACTGTTTTCCACATTAAGGGACAACTAGACAATAAACAACTAACTGAATTTCAGTCAAATACCTGTACATCTCCAAGTTTCCAGAAAACTTGCGGCTGGAAAACCTCATCTGACACTAGTGCTATCAGGTCCTCATCAGTTATGTTCTGGGACAACAAAAACAAAATAAGAAGAGACAATTTTATTATGTCAAAACGCAAATAAATTGCTGTGGACTATTAGACGTTCATTCGATAAGAGACAAGATTCTTAAACATTCACAACTACACTAGGAAGACATAGGCCAAAAGTTCTTTCATTCATATGTACTGAAAGGACATGGTAGTAAATCACTCCCAGACAAAGTTGAAACAATTGTTAATTGCTATGAGATTTGAGAGGTGAAATCTAGGTTAGCGCCACAGTTGAAGAATGACAGATTCAAGACTGCCATAAGAGAAGACGTAATATAGATCACAAAAATTTAGCTGCAGCACAGCTGTCAGCCTTTTCAACATATGTCCAATTTGAGCAAAAGAAAACAAAATTTATCAAACTATCAACTAGCAGCATTGGTCAGAAAAACTAAACAATGAACTTCCAACAAACTTTTTAGGCACATGCATTGGAGATTATGCCACAGAATTTTTATGGAGAAAACATGTTAGCTTTGGTAATAGCCCAATGCATGAAAATTGGATGGAAAAAAGAGAAGTTAACAGTTAGTCTAAACAAAATGCTTCAACATGGTATCGAAAAAGAGCCAATTTATTTAGGGAAAGAATCTTTGTTAGATTGGTAATTTGGACATACGTAAAAAAAGATGACATACTTGAACAGAAGGGAAGCATTTTAGCCTCTATAGGAGTCATGAACGCAGCCTTGAAAGGTGTTCAGACACTACATCAGCATCAGCAATTTGGAAGCATTTTAGCAGAAAAAACAAGAATTATAAAGCAGAAGTTGGAAATCCAAACTAGTACAGCGCATCCTTTCTTCAATTTTAATGTATTGTTGTCCTCTATTAGTTATCTGGGCCTATACGTTTTTGAACTGTTAAATTGTATGTACCAGAGCCAACAAGGAATGTTCACAAGCAATTGTAAAAAAATATATATATGTACAAGTTAAGGGGTATTGCCAGCATTTGACTGCACAAATAAGCAACATATTATCTAGTTACCGACTACTGCAACACATTGCACACAAGTAACACATGTGATAAACACACACCAGCAAGAAAGTTTGTGAAGAATAAGTGCCTCTGTGATCTTTAACAATCTCGAATATAAGTAAGCAGCATATATGATGCCTACTGAAATGTTATAACCTGTGAAGAATTATGTATAATGTGCATGCTCTCAATTCGCTTTAACTAAGTTAAACACGTCTTCCTGCAAGCTAAAAGCACTTCTATCTGATTCTAAATTGAAAGAAGACTGACTTGCAAAGCAACTCTGGAGGTGGTATTATAGCAGCCTTTACACTCAAACACTCATGAAAGAACATATGATTCCTATTTTGGTCACTTTGGTTGGATGTAAATGCTTTCAATCAGAAAACCTTTTCCTAATAAAATGTCTTAAGCTGAAAATGTCATTTTCCTGACAATTGCCTGGTGTTTGGACGACAGTTTGAATATCTTTTGAGACTTGTATTATTGTTAACGTTTTGAATTTTTTTTTTGCAATAACAGTATTATCAAATCAAAAAGACTCAGAAAATAATTGATAACAGAGAACATGTCAAGTAGTGCATAAAATTGCAGTTTAAGCTGAAAATAATATTAAAGTACTAATGGTGATACTCTTATCGCCAGACGGAGCAAAGATATGAGACAAAAATTCAAAATCAAACAAGGTTGAGTAACAGATATTATAAAAGTTTGTGTAAAGTGCTTTGAGTCACTTCCAAAATGTCTCAGGAAAAAACTTACTGTCACATAGTAATAGTATGCAAGTTATTTTGGATAAGAGAGGAAAATCAGGAACATACTTCAAGCTGGAAAATACATTCCCGGTTATTGATGCAATTGAAAATGCTGAAAACATTTTCAGGAAATCAGAGCCACCAAATAGGCCCGAAATTCTATAGCCTTTTGAGAAATTATTTTTTGAGAAGCTTTATAAAAAGTTAAAACGGAAACAAGATCCTATATGGTACTGTAGCATGGTTACCAAGACATTTTTCCAATTCTCTGTAACAAGTCAACTTCACAAAGTTAAGTAAATTTAAAGGATGTCAAGAAATGAATTCCGAAAAATCAACTAAACCGATTTCAAAGTAAATGGAAGAAAATTTCAGTAATAACATGCTAAACCTAACTTTAAACTAATTTGTAAGAGGACATTATCTGACAAATGCGTGATTTGATATCAAGAGGAAAGAAAAAATTCACATTTACTGAAGATGTAAATGCAAGTTTTTAACAATTATATCTGCACCATTTCATAATTTAAATAGTTCAATTGGTAGAAAAAAGAAACAAATGGATATCTTCTTTTACAGTACTCTCGAAGTATTCAATACAGTAAATTTAAGCTGCTTGTGTGCCCAATCATCAAAGACCCACCAACACACGGTCTGCAAATATGCCACTTTCGAAAGTTATCAAATATAATAAACAAAGACTCAATTTACCTTTTTGTTTTCAGCAACGGATTTAAAGCGCGGAAATAGATCATCCAATTCTTTACCATCAATGTCATAGCCAAGCTGCAATGGTAATAATAATAAGATATGACATAACACGAGGTGCCTAATGAAAGTATAACCTGCATACATATTAGAAAAAGGGTGAATGAACTTTACCTCCAAAAGTTTGGCTTTCAAAGCATGACGTCCACTGCCACAAGAATACAATATAAAAATTAAATAGCATTCATGGACTCAAAGGAAATACCATATTTCAATTTTCTTATTTGCAGGAATAAATATCACTTGAACTTTGTGACCAATGCCAAGCAAAATTTGGTAATCTGTAGACTATGCCCTTCATCAGCTCAAACTAGCAACACAAAAATC